ATAATATTACGAATGATGATATTCAAGACAACAAAAGAGTGACATTTGTGGAGGACAGGTTGAGAAAAGTACTAACCTCCAAATGTCAGCTAACATCCTGAGGTTGGGGAAACCGGCTTTAGAAGATTGTATTTTTTCCGAAAATTCCGTCATAGAGAGGTCAATTTTTAAAATTATAAATAATAAAAATACACCATCTGGACTTTCGAACCCCACCCAATATTCTTTATAATAGAGTGCATTTCTACCACTAGAGTCTGAAGACTAGAACAATGCTTATTGTTTGTTAAAGAATGTTTTGTAGAAAAGGTTGAAATATGTTATGGAACTTTAAGAAAAGGCTTATTTATGTTATTTGTTCAAAGTTTGGCTCATCTATGTCATTTTCATTTGAGAAAAGGCTCATTTATGCCATTATTTATAAACTTAAAATATTTTCGTTTTTGCAAAATCATTTTATACACGTGATCAATTATGATTTGATAAATTATTTTTTAAATGAAACGGGTTCAAATATGCCATCGAACTTTGAGAAAAGGCCCATCTATGTTTAAAAGTTTGCCTCATCTATGCCATTTTAATTAATAAATAATGGCATGAATGAGTCATTTCTCAAATGAAAATGACATAAATAAGCCAAACTTTTAACGGATAATATAGATGAACCTTTCTCAAAGTTTGATGGCATATTTGAGCCTTTCCCTTCTATTTATACTCTTTAAAGTTATATTTTCGTGAAAACTATCGGAGGTCCATTTTTGCAAAAGAAAAAGTTAAATTAAAATATAATGACCTCGATGATTGTTTTGTTCGTTTGAACCCATTTTTCCAATTTGAACAATCTCGTAGCTTCATTATACTATAATTTATGACTTGTAATAATAGGTGACACGACTCCCGAGGTGATAAAATTATGATTGATTGAGATTTTCAGTTAAGTAATTGAGAAATTTGACCAAAGTCAATATTTTGAATTAACGAAGTCAGTTATGAGTTTTGATAGTTACATTAGGTTCAAAAGGTGATTTTTGATATGGTTGGATGGTTGATACGGGTTTCGAAAGGACATATTTTTAGGATTTTGTATTTTTGATATTGTGGGAGTTAGAGAGCTCTGATTGAGCCAATTTTTGATGATTTTTTTTCTCATATATATATTAGGTACGTGACTCTAACTTTATTTTGTTCATTTGCCAAGCATACCCATTAATTTTCATAGTTTGATTCGCAAAAATTGAGATTTGAAACCCCAAACATTAAAAACAAATTGAAAACAATTGATTTGAAGATCAACTTGTTATTGTATTTATTGAAGGAATCACGTGATCAACACATGTGTACAGCTGTCCATTAGTTAGTTGTTAATAGTTAGTTAGTTAGCTAATCTGTTAGAGTTAATTCGTCACTGTTAGATATTAGATTAGTCGGTTACATCTATATATAAATGTACATGTACATACACTGATTCATTCATTCAATATAGAAGAAATTTCCCCACTTTCTCTCATTATGGTATCAGAGCATAGGGAAAATCTTAAAGATTGAAGATCGGCGACATTGTTGATCGGAGAAGAAGCTTTCGAGTGATGATCGATGAAGCTTCGTTGAATTCAATTAGTTCATTTTGTCAAAAAAAAATTCCATCTTTTCTCTTTCGTTTTCATTCAGCAAATTGAAAAGCAACAATGGTAGTAGAACCTAAAATTGATCAACAACATCCTCTGTTCGTGGGACTATCGGATGAGCCTGGATCTGTGTTAGTTCCGATTCTGCTGAAAGGGTCTGAGAACTACGGATTATGGCGGAGATCGATGTGTATCGCACTACATGAGAAGAGGAAGCTTTGTTTTGTACTTGGCACATGCAAGAAGAGTTCGTTTGAGAAGAAACTGCAGGAGCACTAGGAAATTTGCAATGCGATTGTTCTGTCATGGATCATTAATACTGTAGCTCCACATCTTATCAGTGGAATTCTTTACACTACTGATGCCCACACAGTTTGGGAAGATCTACAAGAGAGGTTTGATAAAGTTAATCGAGTACGAATTTTTCAATTGCACAGAGATATTGCTATGATTTCGCAGGGGACAGACACTGTATCAACTTACTTCACCAAATTGAAGGAGCTTTGGGCTGAATACGACGCAATCGTCCATTTTCCTAATTGTGATGTGATAGGTATAAGGAGTACACCGCTCACCTGCAATAACAAAAATTGTTACAGTTTCTAAGTGGCTTAAATGATACATATACACAGTAAACGACAGATCCTCATGAAGACAACTGAGCCTAGTCTAAATCAGTGTTATGCAATGATTATAGAGGAAGAAAGTCATCGATTCATTAGCGATTCAGGAAGACATGGCATTGGAGAAGGTAATGATATTGTTGCTTTTTGGAGTGCACGTGGATCAGATTCATCTAGTTCTTCTGGCAATATAAATGGTACAAGTCAATTTCGAGGATCAACACCTAACCGTAACTTTCAGAAGCCTAAGAGAAACTGGAATGATCAATGTGATCATTACAAGATGTATGGTCATACAGCTGCAAATTGTTATCAACTCATAGGATATCCGGATAATTTTAAGGGGAAGAGAAAGCCCCTGGCTAATAATGCTCTGTATGCTACAACAGGAGCACATCAGTCTTATTCACATAGTACTCAGGCTGGATGTTCACAAGGTACTCATGATGGATATTGGACTCCATATCTGCACATTAATAAGCCTCAATCTCCTTGCTATGGATATGCAGGGATTCAAGGCAACTCGATGGGTGGAAATCAATCTGGGAACTCATATGGCCCAAGACCTCATGGTGAGGAGTCTCTGGGAACTGGTCGAGGAAAGGATCATCTACATCAGCAGCCTGAAATGGCAACTAATGTGAACATCACTGTTTCTTTATCTCCTGATCAATATGCACAGGTTCAAAGGATGTTTCCTAAAAATACTCATGCCCCTTCACCATCAGCTAACATGGCAGGTACTTCTTATACTTTAGAGAAGGAGAAAGTTGTACATGATTGGATAGTAGACACATGAGAAACTAATCACTTGGTTTGTCATCCTAGCTTGTTATCTGAGATTAATGGTTGTAATGAAACTGGAAGTGTACATTTACCTGATGGAAGCAAACTTCATATACTGCATGTTGGTAGTTGTAGGCTAGACCAGGGTATGATAAAAAAAATGTGCTATGTGTTCCAGGTTTTAAACTTAATTTATTATCTGTAGCCAAGCTGACCAGAGAGCTAAATTGTGTGTTGAAGTTCTATCCTGATTTCTGCTTAATGCAGGACCTTCACAGTGGGCAGGTGAATGGGACTGGTAGAATGCTAAATGACCTATATCACTTGCAGTCTGGGTTTCAACATTCAATGGTAGCTTGCAGTACAGTTCTGGATACTGACATATGGCACAAGAGGTTAGGCCATGTTCCACATAGAGTCTTGGCTCAAATGCAGCTGACTAAGAGATCCAAGCATGTTGTTTGCCACATCTGTCCTCTAGCTAAACATACTAGGATTCCTTTTCCTCATAGTACTAGTAGAGAAAATAAAATGTTTGATTTAGTTCATGGAGATGTATGGGGACCTTATAAGGTACCTATGTGTAATGGGCACAGATTCTTCCTTACCTTAGTGGATGATCACACCCGAATGGTTTGGATTTACTTGTTGAAGTTCAAAAGTGATATTCCTCTTGTATTAAAAGATTTTCTACAGCTTGTTAAGAATCAATTTGAGACTACTGTCAAAGTTTTCAGAAGTGATAATGGGATTGAATTTTTCAATTCTGCTTGCAAAGTTTTGTTCAGTGATACATGTATTGTTCATCAAAGCTCTTGTCCTTACACACCTCAACAAAATGGTGTGGTGGAAAGAAAACATAGGCAAATTCTAGAGGTAGCCAGATTAATAATTTCCAAGGTTTTATTCCAATCAGGTTTTGGGGCAAGTGTGTTCAAAGTGTTGTGTATCTCATCAACAGAATCCCTACTAGTGCACTAGGAGGGAAGTCTCCTCTTGAGGTTTTCCTAGGAAGGAGACCTAATCTACAACATCTTCGCGTGTTGGGTTGTTTGTGTTATGCCACTGTTAATTCTCCTATACGATATAAGTTTGGCGTGAGAGCAGTTAAATCAGTTCATATGGGTTATTCCACTACCCAAAATGGGTACATACTTTTTTTATCTAATTACCAGGTCATTCTTTATCAGTAGAGATGTACATTTTGAGAAAGGTATATTTCCATTCTCCTCTAGTCATTCCCTGCATTTTAATCCTCCCAGGATGCCCCAATCTGGTAAGTATGTGATGGATTCAGATCTATTTGTGGTGATCAGGGGTGAGCCTGCAGAGGTCTGTGGTGTACACGCAGAGGTACTCAGTAGTGAGTCTGCAGAGGTGCCTCTGGATCACTCTCATTTGGCTGTCTCTCAATCACATGCTCCTTTAGTTACAAAAGATGTTACTCACGATCATCAGCCAGATATTAGTGCCCCCAGAAGGTCCAGCAGAGTGGTGAAACCTCCCACATGGTTGCATGATTTTGTTCACAAACTTGTTCAGGGATTCAATTCTTGTCAGTATCCCATGTCCAACTTTATGTCGTATGACAACTTAGCTGATCCCTATCTCCAAGTTTTATGCAATATATCCACCATCAGGGAACCCGAGTCTTATGAAGAGGCTATACATCATCATGAATGGACTGCTGCTATGGATCGAGTGCTACAAGCATTAGCTGACAATAAAACATGGTCTCTAGCACCTCTACCTGTTGGCAAGAAGGCCATAGGATGTAAGTGGGTCTTTAAGGTCAAGTACAATGCTCAAGGTCATCTTTATAGGTATAAGGATCGTTTGGTTGCCAAAGGTTACACTCAACAAGAGGGTTTAGACTACCAAGAAACCTTCTCACCTGTGGTGAAGATGATTATTGTTAGAATTGTTCTTACTATGGCTGCAATGAAGGGTTAGAATTGTTATTACTATGGCTGCAATGAAGGGTTGGAAGTTGCATCAGATGGATGTTTTTAATGCCTTTTTGCAAGGAGATCTCCTAGAAGAGGTAACATGATCCTACCTCCTGGCCTTTTGAAGCGGGGGGGGGGGGGGTCTTCTTTTGTATGTAGATTGGACAAATCTCTCTATGGTCTTAAACAAGCATCTAGGCAATGAAACTTAAAGCTTACTGAGGCTCTTCTTGCATCTGGTTTTCATCAAAGTCTCCATGATTATTCTCTGTTTACCAAGACTGTTGGTGCTCACATTGTTTTAATTTTGGTTTATGTGGATGATCTGATCATCACTGGTTCTTGTTCGACCCTAATTGAGGAAGCTAAATCTCTACTTCATCATCATTTCAAAATCAAGGACCTGGGGGAGCTGAGATATTTCCTTGGTCTTGAAATTGCTAGAAGTGATCAAGGCATTCTTATCTGTCAGAGGAAGTTCACATTGGACCTCATTGCAGACATGGGATTGGCTGGTTCAAAGCCTGCTAGCACACCTCTAGAGCCCAATCAGAAACTTACCAGTTTTGAGTTTGATCAAGGCCATGAAGGGGATACAAATGATGAATTGCTTGCAGATCCAAGAAGCTATCAAAAGTTGGTCGGCAAATTGTTGTATTTGACAATGACTAGACCAGACATTAGCTTTACCATACAGAACCTGAGTCAGTTCATGCACAATCCCAAGAAGTCTCACATGGAGGCAGCTTTGAGAGTGGTAAGATACTTGAAGAATGCTCCAGAACTTGGGATCCTACTGTCATAAGAAGATTCTACACAATTATCAGCATATTGTGATGTTGATTGGGGAACTTGTCCTATGAGTAGAAGGTCAGTCAGTGGATTTATAGTGAAACTGGGGAAGTCACTGATCTCTTGGAAGTCTAAGAAGCAGAATACAGTCTCACGAAGTTCAGCAGAAGCTGAGTATAAGAGTATGGCGAATACAGTTGCAGAAATAGTATGGACGATAGGGTTATTTGAAGAAGTGGGATTGGGGTTGAAATTACAACTTCCTGTGACACTTTACTGTGATAGTAAGGCAGCAATGCAGATTGCGGCAAACCCAATATATCATGAAAGGACCAAACATATAGAGATTGATTGCCACTTTATCAGAGAAAAAATACAAGAGGGGTTGGTGCGTACTGAACATGTTAACACTACACTACAACTCGCAGACATTTTAACAAAGAGCTTGGGGAAGACACAACATGAGTTTCTATTGGGCAAACTGGGAATGTTCAACCTGTTCTCATTACACAGTTTGAGGGGGAGTATTGAAGGAGTCACGTGATCAACACATGTGTACAACTGTCCATTAGTTAGTTGTTAATAGTTAGTTAGTCAGCTAATTTGTTAGAGTTAATTAGTCACTGTTAGATATTAGATTAGTCGGTTACATCTATATATAAATGTACATGTACATACACTGATTCATTCATTCAATATAGAAGAAATTTCCCCACTTTCTCTCAATAGTATTTCGTTGATTTTTGAAACTTTAAGATCCTTATATTATGAGTAAATCAATTTTGACATCAAACTTTTTTAGCTTCTAAAACAGCTCTAATGAAAAGGGTCTAGAGATCTCAGTCATATAATGGCTAGCACCATAGAAAATCAATGCATTAAATGGGTGCGTTTGGTAATGTTTGAAAGTATATTTCGAAAAATTTCTTCACTAATAAAATTAGAGAAAATAAGTTTTGTAAGTGATATTCCACATTAATTGAGCGAAAATTCATGTAACTCGAGCGAACTTTAAACAAATTTTAAGAGTGCCAAAATTAGTGCCTAGAATAAAAGTATGACAATATGAGTAACGATAGACTCGTATTCACTCATAGATCATATTCTTGTTAGATTGAAAGAATTCTGATGCTATTTGGAAAGGAAAGACGCATTTGCTCAACATTCGAGGTAGGTTATGACTCATTCTTCTCAAACTCTTTTAAATTGTATTTAACTGAGTTATTATTTTTCTTGAGTCTCAAGACGTAGTGCCTTATTTAAAAAAATAAAATAAAATGTTATATAGAAATGTTATATCAGTAACTTTATACATTCTATTTTATATGAGGGATTGTTTGACTAGTGCTTTTCTCTTCTAAATATTTCAAACGCTATTTTTCTTTTCTATTATCAACAAGAAGAGTGAATAGGAGATTATTCTTGCTTATACTCACGTTGAAAGATCTGATTTCAATAATCCAGAAGAGTCTAGATCTCAGTCGATAATGAATACAATGTTTGAATCGATTGTATCATTCTTCGTCGTTATATAATATCACACATCAACAATTTGAATGTTAAATTTACAAGAAAAGTAGAATACAAGATAGAGTCACTATAAAAAGGGAGGATAAGGAATAAAATAAGATTATTAAATAATAAGTAAAAACAAAATGAAAAGAAAATATCAAGGTAACGATACTATCACACTAAATCAATTATTTTACGTGAAATGTAACTTTTCGTCATTACCTAATAATAAATTTTAATGATATGATATCATAAAATTTTAAAAAATAATCAAAACGAACATAATATTTAAACCAACAATATAATATGATAACAATCATCTCAACTAGGTGTGAGTGAGTATACAATTGTTGTAAATGAGTACCGTACATCACATTTGACTACTGTACTACATTAATTGCTCAAAAAAATTAAATAGTAACATTATGTGCACCCACTAAATTACATTTTCTATTATAAATAAATAAACTAGTAAATAAGGAGCATGTACTAATTGTTCTGCCTTGTATAGAGTGATTTTTAATAAGTGTGCAATGATATGTGAAAATTCTTTTTGATTATAAGTAGCGTTCTAAAATTTGAAGTTCTGTTGAATATATATTCTTATTTACTAAATTATGATTAGACAATTAAACATTCCTTTGCATGCCAAGACCTGCAAATTGCATAATATGGAGTCCAAGTGTCCAACAATTAGGTAAACTTATATAAAAATTAAATGACACAATAAACTAAGGCCTTATATTTTCCTTAAATAGTGGTAGTTTTAAAATTTTATATAATATAGTGATAATTTGGGGTTTTATAACAGATATTTGTGAATATACTTATTATTTGTATGGATATAGTTAGGAAGAGATATACTTATTACATGTGCAGTGGCGGAGCCAGAAATTTCATGAAGGGTGTCTAAAAGTGAACCTGCTCTTCTTAAAAAGTAAAAAAAATTGCTACTAGTGAGATTCAAACACACGAACACATTAATTTTGTGTGTCTTTACACTTTCAAGGCACCTAAAACCACTAGGTTACATCATATTGTTGTGTCAAGGGTGTCCAAAATATGTTATATAGCCACTTTGTTTATCCTTTTACTTGTATATACGGTATAATTTTCCAACGAATAAAGGTGGCTACGCCACTATACATGCACTTATACAATGTATATTACTATTGTTGTGTGCGTGAATAACTGAATATAATGTATTTCACGATTATTATGAGCACAAATACTGTGTATTCTGCTACATTTTAAAATTAAAATACTAATATGTTTCATAATTAAGCAAAATCTCACTATTTTCATAATTTTGACCACAAATAGCTCTATTTAAGGAGTTTTCAAAAAACAAATCAATTTCACATCCTACAACTGATGGGGGACTTAACACGAAATATCATATGATTATTTTTATTTTTTAAAAAAGGTAAAGAGGCGGTTATTAAAAAAAAACATATGTTAATTTGTAACTAAATAGTCCACAAGTAATAATTTCTATAATTCAACGCTAATTCATGGCAACAAATATATATTTTTTAAATCACAATTTTAGTTGAGGAAACTTCGTATGCCTTTTAATAAAAATAATTATCGTACTATTTATGTGATGTGAATTGCTCATATATGTCCTTTACCAAAAACCTAAATTAGTATTTTATAATTTTAAAGTTGGAATCCAAAGCATATCATCATAAAATAAAGAAGGCATGCATTGATTGATGACAATCGACAAAAACAACACTATTGTTTTTTTGACTTTTTTTTTATTCAATGTTTGATATCTACATTAAAATTTGACTGAATTTGAATTTGCATATTGCACGGCTCATCTATGAGAACGATCGCTCCTAACTTCAATTTAGAGCAGAGAAATCTCAATCATTTCACGAAGAGCTATGTTGATTACGCTATTTTATTTTATTTTTGAAAACGTTGATTTTTCACCAGATGTTTAAACACGTATAATCAGGAACAAAAAAATATATGAATATTAAATACTTCCTCTGTCGCAATTTATGTGACACTTTTTTGGATTTTGAGACTCAAACAAGTCTAACTTTGACCGTAAATTTTTTATATATCTTTTAATTATTTTGAATTGTCAATTATACATATATAAATAAAATTCTTTACAAGAAAATAAAAGAAAATACCTTAACCCGCACCGCCTCCACACAAAATTAAATATTTTAATTTAGATCCGTCCTGCACCTGTACCACACCCGCATATTTAAAAACCCGCCCTACCCCCGTATGTGACCAAATGTGTCCTGCCCCATTGCCATCCCTACTAAAGTAATTGCTTAGGGCCCAAATTTTTTAGGGACCCTAAATTTTTCTAAGGATACATAATGGTATCTGTTTGAAAATATATATAATTTTTTCTAAATCATGCATTGATAAATTTGAAAAGAATTTTTTGTGTGGAAAATATAATAGTAACGGTTTACTTTATAACTAGTGAAATTGTTCGCGCTACGCGCGATCTTTTTAAATTTAATTGATGAAAAATTACAATTAGAATATAAAATTTAAGATATACTTATGCAAAATATAAAAATGAACTAATCAAAACATATAAAAAAAAAAGAGTATATAAAAGAAAGAATAAAAATGTCACAAAGTTATCGCGAAAAAATCATCTCATACGAAAAAAAGAAGTTATACCTTCATATAAGAGGAATAATAAATATGTAACATTAGTCTCGTAGACTGTCCTTGCTACGTATATTTTGTCCACAAATAATTTAATTATTAAAAATAATAGCCAATATTTAGTTAATATATTTAGAGGCAATTTGTATTATTCATAAAAGAGGCACATTTAGTCTCAAAAGAATTAGAGAATTTTAGTCCAAGAAAAGGCAATCTTAAATGGGTAGCAATTGGAGGAAGGTTAGAAACGGATGAAAAGAATTACTTATCATTTTTAAATAAAATCATAAAAAGCTAATATATTCATAGAAATATATACATTAAAAAAATGGAAGTCCAGAAATTGATATAACAACTGGTAAAGTTATGTTAGCGAAAAAAAAATATAAATTTAGTGATCACAATAATAGCTTGTGGTTTAAGAAAGGATTGTAAGTTCCAAATTCTCCAATATTACACTAATAAAAAAGTCTAGTCAAGCACAAAATTTTACACATTAAAACTAATTTACACATACAAAGGAACATGTTAAAACTAATTTACATATACATGGAAACATATTAAATCTGAAAAAGGAGGGCAAAAAACAAATCATAGCTAACAAAATCATTAATTACAAAGTTAAAAAGATAAAATATGAAATGTATATAAATTTCTTCACCACACCAACTTCAAATTCTTTTATATCTAATGAACAGTAATAAAGAAGGCTCTTTGATTTATTAATTACAAAGTTAAAGATAAAAAATGAAATGTAAATAAAAAATGCATATGTAAAGGAAGACTATATGTGCACTTTAGTTCAACATTTTATTTTGAGGCTTTTTTAAGACCATTTAATTAGGA